GGTGCGGGCAGGCACCGTTACCGGGACCCATAAGGCAGGTTGACCGGGTGGGGATCATGGAACCCAAGGCACGGCCGCAGGGAGACCAAGGTACCGTGCCTACCTTACCTTCCTCACCTAACATACCTTACCTTAAGTTGAAGTGAGGAAAGTACTTTCTCAGTCTAGGTAGGTACCACATCAAACTTTGAGGAAGGGGAGGCGGCAACGGATGACAGGCAGGACCGAATGCTGGCCGAGGTGCCCTTGTAGAGCTGTACACTCGGGGCAGGCCACTCGCGGTCTCGATTCTCCTACAAGTTGAAAAGACGCCAAAGAAAAGGCGGTGTCAGTCACGGTTGGGAGCATGGCGCTACCTATCCTCGCACTAATCATATGGATGGGTGTTGCAGCATGCGGTAATTTGGGAGCTAGAAGCATGTCAATACGCCTTTGTGGACGTACCTTGCGTAGCCTGACGAAATGGTAATGGCAAGACATGGGGCCCGGGGCTTGTCCGAAGGATGTCCGTTCGAACGCCTTTGATGGCATCTCGATGATGTCGATCAGCATGTTGGAAGCTGGTGCTAGAGCCGGTGCCGGTGCCGGTGCGGATAGTGACCAGACCGTTGATACCTCTTCTGTTGGTTGCGCGGCTTTGCCGAAGGGGTCAAGGTCAAGGTCATGGATATGGTATGGGTGATGAAAGGTGATGATGGTCCACGATGGCGATAGTGGCACCCAACAGAGGCTTCAGATCAGCAAGGGTCATGGCCGCGGATAAACGAGAGACAAAGAGATGAGAATCCAGGAACAGCCTGCAAAATGAAGCAAGCTGAGAAAAAACCTATTGCCCAACTGCAGCGCGCTGGAATTGGAAATGAAGTACGGATACCATCCGTCGACCAGGATGAAGCAACGCTGAAGTTCTGACCTGCTCTCATCTTGCATGAGGACCAGAAAACATGTGCTGCAAGTGATAGCTATTGATCATGGTTGCCAGACCCCTTCTCCTCCGTCGGTATCCGTACGGACATTGGGCGTATGTACGTCTACTTAACTTGGTATCCGAAGGCATTTTGTTGCATGAGGGATCGGCAATCCCTCCCCACGTCGTATCTCTAGGAGAATCGTACAGTTGATTGAGAATCGAAGCAAGAGGAAAGAAAAGAAATCATGAAGGGAATGGAAGACCAAGGCACCACGCATGCCACGATCCCCTGGGCTCCATGGCCGGCGGCCAGGTCATGTCATGGAACTCGAAAGGTCAGGACAGGGTCGGGAAGGCAGGACGTGCGTGGGGCGGGCGAGGGAAGGAGGGAAGTTGATATGGGCATTCACCACTAGGAAGCTGGAAGGAGTCAAGAACAGAAACGAATACTGGGGAGCTGGGAGCTGTGAGCGAGCTGCAAAGCGGCAAATACCCATTTCACAGTTCAAGCTGGGCGCAGCGCCGCAGACTTGCAAATTGCCCGCCGCAGTCCCAGTCCGCGCGACCAAACCCGCTTGCTGCAGCATTGATCGGTTGGTTCGATTTGCAACATTGGACCAGGGAGAAATGCATGTGCAAGCAAATGGGGAAAGGCGTGCCTCAGAAACCCATGTCTGCAGACTGGCACACTAACAGATTACAGTAGGCAGGCGGATGCAGGTCGTTGGTGGCGGGGAAAGAGGGAGGGGGTCACTGTTGGGAAGGCACGCTAGCGAGGATACTTGGTGACAACTGTGACATGGGCAAGATGGGGAAGGGGGTCACCATCAATACTTTGCGACTTCGTACACGAGGGAAGGAGGGGGGAGGCGAAGGGTGAAGACCGGCCTCGGAAAGTGCCCCTTCATCGTTCGGCAAGGCTCTGGCAACTTGGCAAGAGTCACTTCCTTGTGCGACATTTCTGCCTCACTCATGTTCCCTCCTTCTCACCATGGTTTCTTTTTCATCCAGATACCCTCAGGTTTCTTCCATTCTCCACAAAGTCCCGTGTCTTCCTTACCTTACCTTATCGCGTCTTCTTGGCCTCCCGTGGGTCCACTCGTGACTGCACATTTTAGGGAAATGCGTTGGGTGTGATTCTCCTGCTGTGCCACAAAGACAGTCCACTTGTTCGATTTCCCCTTCTCGAGAACGTGCGGGTTTCTGCTTTCTTGACAACCTGCCCATCTACATGCCATCCATCCTGTCCTGATCTTACCCGCGTGCGACGCGCTCAGGTGATTTCCATGATAATTCATCATCTTGCTTTCTGGAACGTCGACAAAGAACGACACGAATACCTGACTACACATTCCCAAACACCCGCCTCCAAGGGTTCGGAGTTGTCGAATTAAGCTCACCCCCCGACCCCCGACTTAGAGTTCGCCTGGCGTGACATGCGCACGCAGCAAGGACCACTTTCACCCGAAGTTGCAGTCCGTCGCAGTCGCCGTCGCAGTCTTCTCTTGTCCGTCACCGCTTCGGCGCCCAGTCGAGGTCCACGCCCACGTCCAGCATCTGCTGCGTGTGAGGTCTGAGCCCGATCAGATACCCGCACCTTGCCTTGGTGACGGGAGGAAAGAATCTGGCATCGCTGCTGCCCGTCTTGTTGTCGCCTCCTTCCTCCTCTTGTCTCTTTTGCCCACCTCCACCTCACTCTTCGCCTCCACATCGCTCTCCGGGTCCTCAACGCCCTCCTTCTCGACTCCTTCCCCCTCTGAGTAAAGTACCTAGAATACCTACCTGCCTAACTAAGGCAGGCAAGGAAGGTGGCTCGAGGCGCCGGATCCAGGCGGTACGTTTTGTAGGTACCTACCTACCTTAGGTATCTGACGTCAAGATCAAGGTACTCGGGTAAGTAGATGTTTACCCATCTCATTCGTTCCTCCAGTCCCTTCCTTCCCATCTCTTTTCTCTAGCCACTCATAGTCACGTTGAATGTGTCGAATCATATCACTTGGTCACCTTCTCGGAGGTGGTCCCGATGCTTGATGCCAATTGAGACACACGTGCTGGGTCACACCTCCCTTATGTTAGCTGCTTGGGCAGTCGGTGTGGCCGCCCTCGATGGGACACACACACACACACACTTTTTGGACCCCTCCCGAGTCTTGCTCCCTCCTTCACTCAAGGGGACCCAATCCCGCTGCTTCGGCCATTTCTTCTTCGTCTTTTCCTAATTCCCTCCCCCGCCGTCCTTTTCTCGCTTCCATGCCAATCCAGCCTACCTTTGCAGAAGGAATGTAAAAATCGCGTCACAGTCGCAGACACGCTAAGGCAAGACAGACAGGGCGACCTATCGCGGTGTAACGATAACTTTACCTTGTGCAACTCGAACAGACCAGCTGCCAGCTGACATGACGATTACTTGAAGGTACTCGGCTCTACGGATACTGCATCTACCTTGCACCATCTGTCCGTACGAAGTACCCTACCAAGCATACCCTGCGCTCCGCTGTGTGCGAGGAACGAATACGTAAGTTACTCATCTGGCATCTCATCTCATCTCCAGCTACGTCGTCTCGTCTCGTCCCATGCGGGCAAACCGCCAGACTATCCGACGAGCGGGAAGGTCCCAGTGGGTTGAAACTCTAAATCACGGACTCGACGCCAAATCAAGACACGGCCGGCATATCAGGTCATTTGACAAGCCCCAAGTGCACACTTGCGCTTCCACGTCGCGGCTCGCCCTTGTCTTGCTTTCTGGGCGCAGCGCTATCCGCACATTGAGGGGTTCCCGCTGTCTCTCCCGTCCGCTCCAACATCAGCCCAACGACGCCGTGGCCGTCTTGCCTGAATCCACAACAAACGACTAGAGTAAACCAAGGTACTTCTAGACGAGACAGACTAGCAGAGACAACATTCCGTCGCGCGCGGGAGACACGCCGGCCCCCGTCCACCCCGTGCTTTCCAAGTCAAGCCCAAGACGTTGAAACAGCGCCCATTTACTCGGTGAGTTGGCAACTCGATCATAGGTACCTACCGGTATTCGACAGTCAACTACCTACTTGCCGATACCCAACTGCCTCCACTCACCTGGATTTTACATCTCTGGAGCAACGGCAGCTAGATTGAATCGCCCGTTGGACAGATCTTGCCCGAGCATCCAGTAACATCTACCCAATTCCATCCGTCTTGCCAACCACTTTTCGGTCTTGTCTTGTCTCAGAAAATAGGATACTTATTCGCTACCTGCCTTGCCCGCAAAATCCTAGCACTCAGCATCCAACAATTCAATTGCTCGGCGGAATCGTGCGGGAAAGAACGGGTCAAACCCAAGGGGACGAAAGGACAACGCAGACTTCTCGTGTCCGACTGACTCTGGCTCTGACCATCCTCCAGTCCAAGTGGAGCCATCACCAAGAACTACCAAACTAAATTAGAGCACCAACACCTTGGTTCCGTTCAGTCCATACTCCGTACTCCGTACCGGTGATAGCACCTTGTACGCAGCACGACAGAGGAGTCCACAACTTGGGTTCTTGGAGCTACTCTCGCACGGCGCGGCTTATGTGCTTACAACTTTGCTTGCTCTCTACCTCTGAAGACTTCCATCCGAGCTTCCATTCCTCTTACCTTCCATACCTTGGCTCTCCCCCATTCGCTTCCATTTCCGTTCACATTTCCTTCCTACTTTATCTCAAGGCAGGCAAGTGTACGAATAACGGTATCCACCCCTTTCCTCAGCTAGCGGGCGCGGCAAGGCATCCTGAGTTCACCCTGACAGTAGCGCGTGCTGGGGCCTACTGCTGGTCGTTGCTAGAATCTCTCGTCCGCTCGTGCCGGGTGCTCGCGCTGGTGCTGGTGGCAGGTGCTGGTGCTGTTCTCTCCTTCGGGCCCATCTTTCCTCCTTAGGACCCACCTGCACCACGTCCACGCTTCTTTTCGTCCCTGGGAGCCCGCGCTAACGCTAACCGCCCCGCTATCTCCACTTTCCGCATCTGTTACCGTACCTTAGCACGCTTAGGCTCTTAGCCAAGGTAGTCCCGGTCGCGTCCCACACCGACCTCACCTCCCCCCGGCCCTGTCGTGGACCACAGACGTGGGACTTCGCATCGCTCCCTCCACCACTATCCACTTTTGAATATCAAACTATCGCACCCTGCACCCGTGCACACACTCCCCCACGACCTCGTTTCCTCCTTTCTGGACAGACCTGGGCACGCTGGTCTCGTGTATTCTGTACGTGCCTTTGGGCATCCCGTGTTCCGTGCTGCTTTCCGTCCCTCCCCGTTGGTGCGACAGTCATGGCTACTAGGCCGCGGAAGAGAACCCAACCCATGGACGAGGACCCTCCTCTATTTTCCTATTCAACAGCCTCCGCCTCTATTCCTACAACTACACCTTCATCGACACCTGCTTCTACACCCTCGCCCGGAGACAACAACTCCAACATCAATGTCCAGGATTCCCAAATATGGAGCCCGGGAGGAGTCTCCGAGTTCCCTTGGTTCTCACATGGATCCAACACTCCCCGGCAAAGACGTCGACTGTCTAATTCCCGCGAGGATAGCCGACCCCTGGCACGATCAAAACCTTGTAAGCTAAATCGGTTTCTTTACGTCTCCTAAACCGCCTGTGCCGCTCCCGTCTAGTATCGTGCGATTCTTGGAAGATACGAGAGGACATGGACGGAAAAAGAATAGATAATTATGGCACAGAGTCTTGGGAGCCGTTGCCGACGAATCCTTGGCTAATGGCAAACTAGCAACCCCTGATCCGTCGACGACTTCGACTAGACATGGTGCATTGTATGGCCCTCCAGCTTCTCCTCGCCCACCGCCAGACGTGATTTTCTCTCCGCGACTCCCTACTGTAGAGGTCGACACGGAGGATTTGGACTTGACGAATCCCTTCGAGGATAATGCCGATGATGCGAATCGTCTCGTCTTGGGCAAAAGTCGTATACAGGCCGGAACTATTGTTGATGGGTACATCAAGTTTCACAACGGCAAGTCGAGGACAGCCTACCTACCGCGCCGTCAGACGATACGACCGAGTGATCCCCAGGCTCTCCTGTCAGAGTTATGTTCTCAAACGTTTTTGCTCGAGGCAGGCCTCGAAGAAAATTGCGACAAAAACCTCTTCCAGTTTTGTGAGTCTCGATACCCCTAGCCAAGATGGAGAATGGCTAACATTCTCAAGACGTCAAAGCATGGTGTTCAGGTCGGAGTGTCTTGCACAAGACGAATTGCTGGCTAGTCAACATTCCCCGAATAATGAAAGACAGCTCCTGTGTCAAACACGCGATGCTAGCGCTCGCTGGAACTTATGTTCTCGACTACCAGCCCGAAGAGAGCATTCGACAGGCCGTCAATGCGCACTATAAACGAGCCGTCTTACTCATGACAATGGCATTGAGAGAGGAGGCTCGGAATCCCAGCTCCACAGAACACGAGTCAAACAGCCTCATTGCCGCCGTCACACTTCTAAACATGATCGATGTTGTGTCCCCGGAGCAACGGCGGCCGCCGAGTGCGGTTCCTCGTTGGCTCCAAGGTGCTCGTCTCGCCTGTCACTTGCTGGATAATTCAGATCCGGGTCATCGCTTCTGGAAACCCACTAACATTCAACCTTCTGATATGCAGATGGGCAACATGATCATCGCTGCCAGGGCCGCCATCCTAGCCCTTCCCATGGCTCCTCTTGATTCGAGCAACACGGAGAAGCAGTTCTCCTGGCTGCTGCATGGTACTGAACTGGAGACTCGAAGAATACACGGTGGTTGCGGCATGTCGCCGGTACTTCTTTCTCGTTTCGCTCAGATTACAAGTTTGGCACAATGGTTGTGGAAAGACCCCAGTGACAATGATTTCCACATGCCATCGAGCATCAAAACAATCAGCGATGATTTGAGTAAATTACATCAGTGGACTCAGCCCGCAGCTGAGTCTCCGACCTCGTCAGCCACGACTCGGTCAGATCAATCTCGAGATTTATTAGACCAACGCAGTCTCGGAGATCGCATCAAGCGGAACGGTTTTGGCCTTGTGACGGACGCAGAATCTATGACGGAAGTAACGGCCGAGGCATGGCGTCTTGCAGCCCTCATCTACCTGCGCTGCCGCCTCGACAGGCTGCCTCGTTCTCACCCAAGCGTTGTGTCCGAGGTTGATCAACTAGTGCAATGCATTGGCATGATGCCAACATATGGCACCTACTTCACCGCACAAGCACCGTTCTTTCCGGTCTTCCTGCTAGGAATCGTAGCCACGACAGAAGCACACAGCCTTTGTGCCCTGAAGTGGTTTCAATCGGTCGTCAGCACTAGTTGTCGCTCAGTAAGTAAAGTGACGAAAATCCTAATTGAGGTTCAAATTTAACCAGAGACACCTTTTAGAGTGTCCCCCCTGCGTTCAACTCGCTTCAGCGTATCCGTCAATGGATGACAGCCAACGTAGATGACGACAATTCTTCCAACCTTCCTACGAGAATTTCAGAGCGACATTCCTGGTGGGAGCCACTCGTGGCGCACATTGTTTCTACCGAAGGGACTTTGTGTTTGATCTAGAAGAGATACAGGGGTATTGTTGACCAAACATTCGGAAAGAGAGATGCACTTTTACGGAATACGTCATGCTATTCTTTCTTGGAGCACTCTCTATTTGCAATTCTTGCTACCTTATGCAAGTATTTGTTTCCTATCGTGCATCTAAGGAAGCGCATGCGCTCCCGTCATGTTGTTACGTCTCGAGTCGTCCATCTTCCTTTGAAAGAATTCCCCGTCCTTACATAATGGGAGATAAGACCCAGGATCACACATCTGCCTCTATGTACATCCTTTGCTCGCCCAGTGTACCTCGCCAGCTGTTGGAGATGCTTCACTCCCCGCGGACGTAGATGGCACTATCCGTCTCGTCAATGGAATTTTCAACGGCAGCAGTGCGAATGAGGTACTGTCGCATGGCGGAACCCTCAATGGCCCACGACTTGACGACTTCGAGGCCCGCCTCTGCGCACATGTTGCGGACGTCCTCTTCATTGCGCTTGTGGGCATCGAACCAGTCGATTTCGAGACCCTGCTTCAGCGTCTTGCCCTCTTTTTCGACGACTACATCGTGCTTCGCCTTGAGGAAGAAGCGGTGGCGCTTCTCATCCTCTTCGATCTCCCCGCAGATCTCCCAATCCTCAGGCTTGAAGACTTCCTCGCCAAGGAGGACGTTGGCGTGCTTGAAGCCATTGTGGAAGAACCTCTCAAACAGTACTGTATGGGTGTGGTAGGCAGCCCAGACCTTGGTCGAGGTGATATCGTGGCCGTCCATGCCGGCGAGGATGAGGTCATCCGGGCGCATGAGGGCAGCCCACTCACGAAGGGAGGCAATGGCCTTCTTCCAGGGGTCGTTGAAGAGAACAGATCCCAATGAGAGGAAGACCCGAGGGGAGGGAATGTTGTCACAGTAGGCGAGGCCAGCCTTGAAGTCACCCCAGAGGCCTGCCATGCAAACGCTGCCAGCCGCGTGTTCAGGGGCCAGGGCCTCGAGGTTGCAGGTCAGGGAGTGGTTCGAGATATCGAGGGCGAGGTATGTAGCGTTGCGGCCGTGCTTGGCGAGTTCCTTGAGGAGGAAGTTGACCTTGCGCATGTCACTGTAGATGAAGAGAAAGATATAGTCAGCAAATGCTCACTCTGAATATGAACATGAGCAACAGGAAAGTGATTTCTGCTTACCCGGCTCCCAAGTCAATCATGGTGGCGTCATTGGGAATGTAGACGGTCGCCATCTCCTCGCTATTCTTCTCAAACAAGACCATCTCGTCACGGGTCTGGTAGAACTCGGGGGTGAAGATGACCTCGGCCCAGATGGCCAGTCCCTCGTCGTTGTACAGCAGCTCGTCGGGCATGGTCGGGACTTTACCCTTGGCGGCCACGGCAAAGACGCGCTGGAGGTCCCCGAGGATGGTGGAGGACATGCTTCCGCCGCCGATGTCGAGCACGCTGCCGTGAGCGGGCATGGGTACCGTCATCTTGGATTGAGGCGCCATTGTTTCTTATTTCTTATGACTTTGGAAAAAAAGGGAGATTTGAGGTGCTTTGTTTACTGCAGGTTGCCGTCTTGGTTGATGTTTCTTTCCGTCCTATTCTATTGGGAATGACGTGGTATGAAGTGTCGGTGAAGGAAGGAAGTCGACATGCGGCAATGGGACAGAAGTAGACTGACTTTGTGTAGGTAGAAGAAAGTAGAGAATTGTAAAAAGTTGATGTTGTGATACAAAGCGAAAGAGCTACAACGATGTGGGCTTCCAGTCGATGCCTTTTATACATTCTTCCCAGAGATTTCTGGCCTCCCCCACCCCCCCCCCCCCCCCCCCCTCTCCAGAGATGAACTCCTGAATCACTACTGGCTTTCCCTCTTCGTCATCAAGAGGAAGCTGTTATTCACGCTTCCTGCACCTTCCCATTCACCCCCACTGACCGACCCCCCTTTTTCCTCAATCTCATCTCATGCCACCCCTGGAAGTTTGACTGACATCTTGCCCCGGAGAGGAAAGGAGAGGAGGAGAGAGGGGGGGGGGGGGGGATCTGCCTCATTCACAGTCTTTGTCTTTCGATAATACAATACCAATTAGCTTGCCGTACTTATTACTACTACATCATTATAAGACCTGCGATATTTGAGTGGATGGGCGGCGGGGGGAGGGGCGTGGAGCGTCTCTCCTTACGCCTCTCCCTTGGCAAACATGCGCGCCGAGCGAGGTGGTGTTTGTCGACAAGAAGACAGCCATATACCACTCGGTCTCTTCTCTCCTTTGGTTGGATGCGTAGCCACGAGGAGAAGGAGAAAAGACGCATGCACGTAGTAATGCCCACTGACGACTTTTTGGGGCAAAGTACCAAACCCTTGCTTGACTTACACCAATGAACTAAACCCCGACCACCCTTGACTTTGAGATTTGACACTTGACGTTACTCGATTCCCGGCTGCAGAGGAAGGGAAAGGAACATTTCAGCAGCTTAAGCAGCTGAACAGCCCAAACAGAAAAGTCTGACAGGCAAACAAGACAATGCCCAGAGAGGTATACAACCCCTTCCAGTCCGACGGTGAGATGTGGAATCCGCCTCGTCAAAGACGGGTACATTTCCCGAAAATACTGTCGTCTCTGATCCCACAGCCCTGGTTTCGTGGTTGGGGCAAAGCCAGCAAGCCCGCCCATTCGACGACACCCTTTGACACATTGATGACAGGTCCACGCTAGGTCCGGCGCGGGTCTCCTCTTGTCTCATTCCTCCTCCATCACGCGCATAAGGGTTCGTCACTGCTTTTGGTTCCTTGACCGGTTGGGCGGGACCGACCAAACCCCCAGGGGAATGACGAGACAAGAAAACAACGAAAGGGGGGTGGTGGGCTGGATAAGGGGGGTCCCAGTCAAAACGCGAATAAGGAGCGTAGGACCGGGCCGCTTCGGGGGTCGTCGGAAAGAAAGAAAAAAGAGTAAAGGACTCGGCGGCGTAGATCACGCGGAGGCGGGTACCACGACCGGCTTCCGCGCTTTTCGCTTTCCTATTGTTGGGTCACAAACGCTGGCTATTGTTTCGTTCATTCTTGCTGGCCAACCCCCAAACAAATTCAAACGCTGGGACTGCATGTTGGTTCCCGGGGCGAAAAGATGCTGCAAGCTGGAGGTTATTGGTCCTGCAGTTTGCCTATGCAGCGGATAAATATGGCGAGATTTCCCCTTCGCAGGAGGTTATGATGGAACGAGAACGAGCTTTGAACCGACAGTCGCAACGAACACTCACTCTCGCATATGCGCTGGCCTGTTGAAAGGAGGATGGTAGGGTAGGGTTGGATGGCCGCCGGCCGGTATCCTTTCCTCGGTCAAGAACAAAGGGCGAATCCGACGCGACCCCGCGGCCGATTAATCGAGACGCCGTCGAATCGGACTGGCATCCCGCACATTTTACAGCCATGCCGCATAAGCTCGGTCAACCAAACCCGCCGTTCACGTAGGGAAAAAGGTGCACATCGCTCCCCGGATTCAAGACGTCGGACTCATCTCGAGAATTTGAAGCCGGGGAGGTGGGTATCGTGGGTCTGAATGTCGCAGATGTGACTGGCTTATCTTGCATGGACTTTCCTACGTCCAGAGGGGGGATGATTTATCGTGTTAATTATAAAGCGCATCTTCACCGAGTTTCGATTGTCTCAACGCCTCATTTTCCGACCCCTATGCACCGCGGATCTATCAGTAAGTTTCTCACACGTGATTTGATGCAACGTATCAGGCTCCATTCTCAACGACGGCAGGCTCAAGCAATCGATAGGCATGCAGCGTCAGTTGAAATCTCTGCGAAGCCAAGTTGACAAGTTACAGTTGCTCCTTTGATACGGATGTAGTTCAATCCTGTCCGGCCGCAACACGTTTCCTCGGCACGATTGGTCTGTGTGTTTCTGGCCCGTCCTTGAGCACTACGCACCGGCTCCGGTTTGGCCTTACGGAGCGGTCCGCCTAGTATCCGTAGGGAGATGACGAACAACGCAAGGCCCCTTGATGGTCTTTGCGGTCGTGGAGATCAACCGCGGAATGTAACCCTGTATTGTTGCAAATCCTCAAGCTTATCGTCTGTCTGATTGAGACCGGCCTGGAGACGCGAATCAAAGACGAGAATGCTTCTTCATGGCCAAGAGCTGAAGATGCCCTTGAACCGCCTGAGCCAGCTCGCGTTATCCCGCCAAGGGGGCATGTTACGTGTCACGGAGTCTTGCTCATTGGCGGAGATGCGGTCGACCCCCAGTGCAGATGTCTCGCCTGTTTCTAGCCACAGCGGGGCATTGTCTGGCGGGTGACTCGCAACACCTGCTGGTCCGACTGGAAAACTGCACCACAGGAAGCTGATCCGTTGTCAAACGACTGCTTAACCGACGAGGAAACCGGGCAAGAATAACAAGATGCAGCCCTGACCGAGCTCGGTGCTCTGGTAAGGATGTGCCCGGAACCTTCGTTGGACCGTCACAGCGGGCCTCGGAGAATTGGCAGATGCCCACGGCCGCTCGGCAACGTCAAGCCAAACCCTGGAACCAGATCCAAGCATGAAGGCGGCACAGCCTAGAGCTGGATGGGCCAACGTTTCTGCCGCACGCACCTCAAGAACAAATCGAGTCTTGTGGCCGGGACCTCGTTCTCGAACACAAATATACCCTCCGTCTGGCGACGTTGAAGGGCTGCAAGCACAAAGCGCATCGATTCTGTTCTTTGCAAGTTTCGGGTGGTTTGAGCGTCCCCAGATTCGCTCATCCGACTGACCAAATTGCTCGGTAATTAGGGGTGAACCATCGTGTCGGATGTCGATGATTCCAGCCAGACGGACGCGACCCAGGCTGACCGGGGTCGGCATTGCTCCCGCAAGATCGAGGTTCCCTGTTGAGCGGCCAAACCGCGCGGAGTCAGGCCAAATCAGGCAGCTTTCCTAGCTGAGCCATCGTCATGGATCTCCCCGCTGGAGCCCGTACCGTTACGCAAGGCCCATGGGAGACGCTACGACGCTCGCTCACAAGTCATAAACAAGGCTGATGGGGCCGGGCAAAGCTTGATATTCGTTCTTTGAGGCTTCAAACACCAGAACGGAACAGATGGCATGCATTCCAGACTGCCTGCGTAGGCATAGTATACTGCCTCGTATTCGAAAATCCAGAGGGATTACGCAGATTAAACCTGGCTTGGAATCCCGTCGAATCAACAACCTTTTGCCTATTTGTTACAAGGAACACTGGCAACTCTGAAAACGGCCACGCACGCGAAAGAGAGCGAACTGTATTCGTATATACAATGAGCTGGAAGGGTGAAGTGGGTATGTCCCAGCGGCCGTCGGCCCCGATGAGGGTGTGGAGCAAGCGGCTCAGCCTGTGAAGTTTGAGGAATCTTGACTCAGTCCTCGCCATTCGGCCGGAATGAACCTTTGCTGGTGGTTTCAGGATTTGAAGATGCTTAGGCGATCAATTCGCCTCCTGCGCAGCCTCCTGCGCACCAGGACAGGATGAAGAGACGAAGGTTGAGATGACCGTTGGTAGAAGCCCAATGCTGCCCAAGGTGGAGGTCAACAGCCTCCAGTTCGGCCGGGACTCGCCAACGGGTGGTGGTGGCGGCGGCGGCAGCGTCGATGTCTTCCAGAAGCCAAATAGAAAAAATCCATTCGCGTGTGTGCGTGTGTGTGTAGCCAGCGTGACGTTCTAGTTCCCGAGCGGCAAAAGATGGACGCGTCGCCTGCCGATCTCTGACATGTATTTTATTTCTTTACGTTTTCCGTGCGACGCGTTGTCGTCCCGCCCACAAGATGACTCTGTACCAATAGATCATTATTCCTGAGATGCCATGCCATTGCCGCGGCCTCATAAAAATGCTGTGTACCCGTAAGGTACGTCTGTAACTGATGAATACCAGTGGGCTTGGTCAACTGTATCCGTGGTGTGTCAACCTTTTGCCTTGCTGCCAGGATGATAGTGGACCAGCGGAAATGCCGGTGCCGCCGCAGAGTGGTCCAGCAGAAAAGCATGTCAAGGGTTGCCCATTTATGGTTGACGAATCCTAGACTTTGGAAGTCGCTGAGGCATGGTATGCCTGGTGAGAGAAGCGTCCATGCATCACCGTCTTCCCGGTGAAGAGGAGTGTGCGTTTTCTGTCTGGGGAGTTCCATCGTGTTTGGTGGTGGCTGATGAGTACCAGAACGGCCAACGGGCCACGATGTTGAACTTTGTGACCCTTTAATGTGATGATAGCCGTCAAACCCTCGTCAAGCAAGCATTGCTGAAGGCCTGGCCATGAACAGTTGACAGCTCCAGAGTGCAACTGTGCCCTTCAAGGAACACATGAAGACAGCGTAGCATAGCCGGCCAGCGGTCATCTCGGATTCAGTTCATCCCACTCAGCTAAGTTTAGCTAACAGACGTAGTCTCCTCGTGTGAGTGGGTCTAACGAGATTTAACTTGCACATCCCTCCAACTGCCGGTGCCTCGTTTGGTACTCCCTGACTCCTGAACCAAAAAGCCTTGACCTGACGTTGTAACTCGTCGCCCTCGCCTGGTCGATGCCAGCCAGGTAAGGCAAGCAACGCAAGCAACGCAAGCAACGCAAGGCGAAGCTAGCGCCTCCCCGTGTCGTGCCAATGAAGGGACGGATGTGGTGTGCAACTGACAGTGGTCGAGATCCCCAAAGGCCACGATTCGGCTCGGGCGTTTCATGTCCAGATCGAGGAAGGATGGCTGTCTGAGGAAATGGACGAAAGTATGCAGTGGCAGATGCTGGACTCTCGACGGAGCGGCCGTTGATGGAGAGAGATTAGGGACTCAAACTGCTGCTCGCAGTGGCTGCGATTGAGAGTCCGGGGCGCAACTATTGGTGACGCTTTCGCAGTGAATGTCTGAAATCCCTTTGGTGTCCCTTTTCGCCCTTGATCCTGACTAGCTCGCTGGCGGGGAGCATCCAGTTGGCTGACATGTGTATCCGCCACAATACGTCCCCCTGGGTGGGAAGTCAGGTTGACTGAGGCTTGGCCTTGAAGTCTCTGCCGCATCCAATACAAAATCCACCGCTCTGTACGGATACCTTGATGATTGGGGGCGGATCTGAACGGGGAATTGACTTGGGTTACGGAGTATGGTAAAGGTAATGGGTCATCCGCTGGTCGGGGTTGTGATCAGGCCCAGTGTTCGTCTGCTGTATCTGGCCCAGCGGTCCCTAATGCGGCACGGGAGACATCTGGCTGGAAGACGGGGTTTTTTTTTTAATGCATTGAAGTGAGGTGACAGACGTTAGGCCGTACTGTGTCACGCGTCTAAGTGAAGGAGACCCGAATACAGGGTGTGCGCGCGCATCGCCGGCTTCGATTTCGAATCGTCAAGGGTCGGTTTCCTGAGTCCGAGAACCGTCTTCCCGCGTCGAGCGAACTTATGCGTCGAATCGTTGTCGACCACGGCGATACCTCTCGCTTCTTGGCGCCCGAGGAAATATACCTACTCCGTACGGAGAGAAGAAGAAAGGACGAAAATAGACGTGATCTTCGGTTTCGCGGCCCTCACCGAAGCTGCTAGCATGGCAAGGCCTACCAAGGCTAAAAAGACTGGTGAGTATCGGACAAGGATTCCATGAGTACTGTACGGGAGGATGTTTGGGTTTGGTCAATGGGGGGAGGCCGTGAGAGAACAATATGGAGACAGACACAGAAACAGTATACCGTAGAAACTCGAGCAACTCGAACTTGCGCTAGCCCGTGCCAGCCCTACTAGCGCTCTAGCAGAATCGTAATACTACCTAAAGTGGTTAAATACGGCCGCCACTTATTTTTGGCGTAGGTTAACATTTCGATCGATCTAACTAATAAGAGCTCGCCGTCGAGGCCGGACCTATAATTAATATAATTTAATAATTATTTTAGCTTTCTCGTCGGTTTTGAGCTTTTCTTATCAAATTAGTAAAAAGGGCAAAAATGTTAATTAGAAGTAGTCATACGTAAGTAACCGAGCCCCTAACTGTCCCCTGGCCTACTGCCTCTAACGGGCCCCTATTTATACGGCAGTTGGACTATTAGGTCAACGAACTGCCCATTGATGCTATTACGGACTTCCTCTACTGTGAAAATGTATTCTAACCCGTCGTTTAGAACAACAAAGTCTGGAATCTCCTCTTACAGTGTCTCCTGCTTAATATAGGCTTTTACGTCAAAGAGCTCCTACCTAATGTAATTGATGGCCTTGGCGGGTACGTTTTTAATCCGGATCTCGTCGACCTAGCTACTATCGGGCCAAATAAATATTCCGTACTATAAGAAGGCCTGGCTAACCATTGAGCCCTTCTCGTGGGCCAATTTAGCGGCTACCGTTTCGACTATTTTAGTAACTATTATTCTCTTTATACCCGTCTCTTACTTAAGCTCCTCTTACTTATTTAGCGCTTTTTCTTCCTTATCGAGTACGTAAGCGTCGGTTATTTCTGAAAGCCACTGTTTAAAGGGCTTATTAACTGCGGTATCGAGAGGTTGGAGGAGGGAAGTGGTCCCTAGCGGTATGAGGTAGGGTATGATATAGTGCTGACATAATAGCATAAGGATAGAATCTGTCTTATAGAAGGAAGCGACATCCATTACCAATAGGTACTCGTCTCCCTTAGTCAGTGTTACTAATTCCTCTTTAATCTATCTTTTAAATAAGTACTCATTATTGTAGGTAATCTTGTTGAACTTAACTGTTACTCCTTCTACGTATAATAGGCCCTCTTTTTTCTATAATTGACCCCCTTCCTCTGCAGGCTTACTATAGAATATTATTTTTGGTTTAATTTGTTATATACCGTTAGTAAAGATATAGAGTATTAATATAGCCTGCCGCTTACCCCAACCGCTACGGTCGCTCTTGCTAGCCACGGTTTTGGCCCCGACGTCGTTATATATATAACCGTTTAGGTATTCAAAAGGAACTAGGGTCTTATCGAGGTTAAGAATTTGCGAATTAGGAAATCGACGGGCTAGACTTCCGAATAAATCTCCGATATTAGACCGCTTTACCTTAACCAGGGCCATTTAATTAACTTATTAAATAAAGGAAAGAAAGCTATTAATAACTTTGAAGTACTTAATGGGTAACTTCGTTACCTATTTAGTAAGTCGACGTCGGGTAATTCTTATACGATTCTAGAAGCCACGAAACTAACCGGGGGAAAAAATAAAAAGATGTTTGCTGTTCGGGTTCTACTGGGCGAAAATCCGCTTAGCGGTCCTTTTGAACTAACTGGTACTAATAAGCTTTCCCTTACTTTATCGCTAGCGGAAGGCGCCGTATAGCGCTATCTTGAGCTCTAGTTACTAAGGGTAGTAGGCATAGTTAGAGGACTAATTAACGATTGATTTACGGTTCTGATATTAGGAGATAACCGTGTTTTAAAGGACTTTAAACTAATCTACGGCTTCTTAGTATATAGGACGTTTATATATCCCTAGGAGCTCGGTCTTGCCCTAGCATAGCCTTGGAGGGCAAATCGACTCTTTGTCAAGCTTCTTTACGTAGTAATACTTTAAAAATATTAAGACGTTAACTTTAGTATTATAGGTATAGTAGTACTAGCGGCGCTTAATTAGGCTACTTTACGGTATATATTTCCGGTCTTTAATAGGGGTAGGAGCAGGCCTGCGGCGCTTAGCTACTAGAGGTGTAATTGGCATTTTTGCCATATTCAAATCCTTCTCGGTAAGGGCCCGTTATAAGGGCATCGTGGGTACGTCGACGAGGCCCGTGGTGGAGGTATAATTAGAGGTATAATTAATAGTATAATTGGTGGTCAAATCGGTGATATAATCGGTAGAAGTGGGCAGTTAGGTAGGAGTAAAAAATGGAAAATAATCACTTACCGCCTTCCGTATACGGTTTAGTCGATTATATAATCGGATAAAACTGATCCCTCGAAAGGGCTTAGTGTGGGCCGCTAGCAGGGCTGGCACGGGCTAGCGCAAGTTCGAGTTGCTCGAGTTTCTACGGTACTCCGTAGAGGGAAAGGGAAGAGCAGAGGCCACCTACGCTTGGCCTGCCAGTGTCTCCCTCCGTTCGCATCGCAGGGTAAGAAGCACCACCACCACGCGCCGGCCGGAGCTGACGATGTGTGAATGGAACGGAACTTGTCAGGCAAGGGGCAGGCACTGGCCGTGGCCCATGGCCCATGGCCTGAAGCTGGATCCCGCTGACACGAAGGAGGGCAGCCGGCGGCGGCAGGACACGGTCAAGCCACTGCGGGAGGAAGCATCCCGCAGCTGACCACCGTATATCAGGGAAGGTACTATGCATTACCCAGCGGTCCAGCTAGAATGCCTGAATGTCAGACTTGTTTGTACAGTTAGACGCACTGTCCGGCGCTGGCGCTACAGTGTGCCGAGTGTCTGAGTGACTGGGCTGTCGAGTATCCCTCCTATTGTTCAGTACAGATACAGACACAAAGGAAAATTGTATGCCTTGCCTTAGAGTAGACAATTCTCCCGCTGTCAAAGCCACTGCTGGCTGCTGCCAAGGAACTTGGAACAATATCAAGCCAGAGACAAACTTGGCCGCAGTAAGGCCAGGGGTCTCGTAGCACAATCGTAAGCGATCTTCACGGAAGGATGAATAGAAAAGAAGCCTGCATGGAACAATCATGGAAGCTGTCCAAGCCTCCAATATCAAGCGTTGGCGTACGCCAATCATCCATCTCTTGCCAGCCGCTGCCGACCTGTCTAGCAACGGCTATTTGCGCTAGAAGCAAGGCACCTCGCCTTAGCGCCGGTCCTAGAGCCCTCCGAGTTGACATGGTCGAGTGCTCAATAGATGGCAAAGTGGTCAGGGGTTGCGTTGATGCCCGCGTTATTGCTGATGATGCAACGGCAATCTGTACGCCGACGGGCAAGCACAGAAAGCATGGAGTCGGATCCCATTAGTTACTTGATGCCACCCGCCCAAGACGCGACCTGGCTTCAATCCTATCAGCTGGCAAACATACGAGAAAATACTCCGTACACTCAACCTGTATTCGACACCACTAGTGCTTGGTGACCAATCTGGGCATATCTTCTGAAACAGATTGTCCCGACACACCTCGCTGACTGAGTCGTACACGCCGTGCACGATTTAGCTCAGGTTTGCCGTTTGGGACGATGCGGTATGCACCAAGATGGTTGCAGACCTCCCGCAACCAACTCACCTCGACCTGGTTACAGAGTACTAAGCTGAGGTGAAGTACTCTGGATATCCGCACTTTGTCGCCTAATCGTCTGACAGCAAATCTCAGCAGAGTCTCCAGCCTCCGACTGACCGCCTCGCTCATCTGCTTCTACGCCTGTTCTTAATATTGAACCGTCCGTGCCACGTCGATTGATCTACTCACAGTCGTGCGCTAGCTCTTCTACCTCTTTGCGGTCAAGAGGCTGGGGGGGGGGGCCGGGGGTCAATGCCACCAAAAGCTCGTGAGCCTCGACAGATTGGGCTCTCTGTAACCGCAGTTGGACGGCTCGCACAGACAATCGTTGTTCAAAGTCGCCTGCGGCAATCTCCGCTGAGGCTCGCTAGTTCAATGACCTTGTCACCTGGACCACCCCATGGACCATGCATGACGGTTGTAATAAGCCGTGGGTTGCTTCAGCTGTGGGAGGTGCCGTGATGCGCCCGTGCCTGAGCTGAGCCATGGCGAGGCGGGTACTGTGTGTAATTCGCAGAGGGCCGGTCGTCAATGGGCCTTGGGACTATGTAGTCTGAGCTTTCGGGAACAGAGCCGCGGGACATTACCTTGACCATGGTCGACAAGGCCCTGTCTCTCAATCTGGTGTTTTGTCGTGAGTGCTCTGGCGCCTGACGCTTGACGCTGGTCATGCTGTGAGCCTCACTGCATCGCAAATCGTCCAGTCCTTCAGCATTCAGCCCTCATCCGCAGCCGACTGTCCCGTTCGTAAGTCAAGGCAGCCATGCGAGCATTCGAACGGGCGGCCAGGGCGACAAACATACGTCCAAAGCCGACGGCGCGCTGTCAACGGCGTGTTTGAGGTCCCAAGGCCCGTTCTTGACACACGCCCCTTTGCCATGGATCTCATGCTGGTACAGCCAATGGGCCAGTGGGAGACGGACCCCAGTCTGCGCGCGCGAGCGTCCCCCGGTTCAAGGCTGATACGACACAAGGTGCCTGGCTCTGGGGCCTTGCCGTGTGCAGCAGAAAGTCCGTGTAATCTTGTGCACGTCGGCCAATTACCTGGGGACCCTTGTACTTGTTCAACCTTCTCGAAGTATTCCAGAAGGAGTGGAGAGGAGAAAGAGGTCTTCCAGGGATAGATACGTAGACATCGCGCACCCCACCCTCGTCGCAGATGAAGCGGCGAGACGGCGGCGCAGCCCCCCCCTTTGACGCAGCTGTAATTCCACGGCGGCTCATACGCCGTCGATACCTTCCAGAAGGCTTCTGGAAACCTTCCCCGCTAGGCCTAGTATCAATCTCCTGGCTGCAGGCGAGAGCCACCAGGCCTCTCCAAGCACTTAATTTTGCGCCAGGTTTGTGCTCGCATCCTTGTGGGTTTCTTGTCAGAGATGATGGCAACACCCCTTTTTGGCCGTTGCTCCCTAGCTCTGATATTCAGTTGTCCTGCGCGCAGAGGGCGGCCCCGAAAGTGGCAGAGTCCTCCACAATGACAATGAAGATCCTCGCCAAACAGGCGGTATCTGCGTCTTCGATCATTGATCTCTTCGTTGCACCTTTCCGCGTGATGGCTATTCGCACATGGGAAGCTACGCATATTTGCTATGAGCTTGCCCAGGTTAGGTGAGGCCGATGCAGGGCTTTGGTCGAGGGGACCCGATCCGTGGAGGATTTACTCGACGTACGCCCGTCGCTTCATTCGATTCTGCTTTTTGTATTGTCACATATGCTACCGAGTTTTAGTGCAGAAGTATTCGCCCTCTAGTAAGCTCAGGAAAGTCGTTATAGAATTTGGTACGGGGCACTTTGACAGAGACATACTAGAGACACACTGGACCAGAACCGCACAGTGCTGCCGTAGGTTTCCCAAATGTCCAGTTGAACAAAAAGACAAAAGATCAGTGAGCGGTACGGACGTAGAGGACGTCGAGACTTGAGAGAGAAACCATTTCAAGTTATTCAGCCGTTGTCCTTCTGTCTGTCCTCCAATGTGCCAGTCTGTTTGTCGTCCCAAGAGCCGTGGGCAGACCCCGGTTCCGATAGTTGGGCACATGACAACGGTGACGGCATTAGCCAAACCATCTTGTTAATCTCGAGCCGCTCGTGCCTGATTGTCGGGCCTCTGCATCGACATCGACACTGACACGGCCCTCCACAGAGTTTTTGGCAAGCAGCCAATCTTTTCCAGAAGCAATGGAGCCCTTCCATGACCATGCCCCTTTGAATCTTTGGTATGGCGGAGCAGCCGGGAGCCCCTGCACCTTGTACTGTCGCACCCTCGCACTTTTTACAGGGCCCTTGGATCGAGATTGGCTATGCTAAGGCATCCATACGGCGTAAGACCTGGCTTTGCGCTAAACGTCAGTGACAAGAGCCGAATAGGAATGGGCAAGTAATAAAAGCAGGGGGGCGTTCAAACAGCTCCAGCGTAACTTTGTTTCGCGACTTTGATACGTGCTCTGAGGGTGGTAGCAAATTTGGAGGTGTCCGAGCGTTCATTAGATGACACTCTGCACCTCGTTGCCGTAACATTGCAGCCCATGGCATAATCAATGGAACTTTTAGAAGCTGCCGTCGAGAGGAAGTCAGCGCAAACAAGAGGGAACTGGCAGCATCTGCGGCGGCCGGGTCTCGGGTTGTCTTGATGAGCGTGATTCGTGGGAGATGAGTGGTAACGAGAGGTGCGGTCAACCATCAGTGTACTCATTTGCGATTTGTGGCAACCGGAAAGCATGGGTGGATATTTGGACTCGCGGTGTAATTACTCTACAGACTACAGCGGATGGGTAGCAGCATCGCGAGTATTGGAGCCTGTAGCGTTGTATCTGTACCCGTACTGCCGTGTGAGGGCGTTGCGAAATGGAGTGGCTTTGACCACACTCTGTCTGTCCTCATTGACAGCGCACGCTCGATGGTGCTCGGCCAGCGCCAACGGTGATTGCCCAATCGAGAAGGGGAGTGACCACATGGAAGCTTTGGAACATTCTTCTGGCGCAGGGTCATAGCACCGCCAAGTCTAGCTTATCTGACGAGCTTTGAGTGCTGCTGGGTAGCCGCTAATAGATGCTTGCTGGCAGACGTAGTCGTCGATTTGCGGGCAGCATATTCTTGTGCAGTGGACGATACAGGTTGAGCCGTTTGTCCAGAGAGATGCTGAGATAGATGTCTGTCTGGTAGCAGGATGACGTTTTGCATTCCATCATAGACCCAAAGTCGTTTGTTGAATTCGACGGGGATCAACGCAAGAGAGAGAGAGAGAAAGAGAGAGAGACAGAAAGCTACTTGGCCAAGTACTAAACCGAAGTAAAAGCGAATCAACAGAGGCAAGGCCTGACTCTCGACTCTCGAGGCTCGAGGCATGAGAAACACATGCGAGCGCCCAACCCCCTGGTCCGCCCTATCGTAGGTTTTGTCTGTGGGGTTGCGAAAGGTAAATTGGATGTGCCATTCTCGCTCCTGAGTGGGAGAAGAATGACCCACTACCGGGGTGGAGATGATGGCAGAAATAACCCGATTGTTTGATGATGACGAGGCAAAACAAGAGAAAAGCCAAATAGCATTGCTGGGATGTGTGTTAGGCGAGCCAGCTGCCAGCCAGCCGGAGGGTATACTGTGTGCATCTGAGAGGGACCCGTAAGGTACGCGGCAAGGCTTGTTGATTTGGCGAGGCACCCCTGAGCTGAGTGGAAGGATGGAAGAAAAGAAGGGGGCAGAAGTTTGAGAGTTGGTTGGAGGTATTCGTACAGTATTACTTTACGTCTGCATGGCGGCGGGCTGAGGGTGATGATGATGGGCAGCGGAGGTGACAGCAGTAGCGGATTCGAATGATGAAAGATGGCCCCCTATTCCCCTTTTCGTCCATTGATGATGCATAGCTTGCAGATGGACCTGACAACAGGCGGGATGTTTGTCTGCATTGTCAACGACCCATTTGTCGATTGCGTTCATGGTGTTGAGACTTGAGGGCAGTGGCCTAGTGGTGCTCCGTCGGCGTTGGCAGGCCGCAAACCGTCGAAAGCATGAACCCAGCAGGAAAGTCAGCCGCAGGGCTTTGGCATAAGACAAATTAAGAAGAAGCAGAACAGGGGACGTGTCAGATGGTAAGAAAGCATAGCAGGACGTTGAGTGCGCTTGCCGCTACACGTCCGTACGTTACGAGTTCTTCACTTTGGAGAAGGTGCTGTGTCGTGGTACTTGTTCTTCTGGAATACGGATGCGGTACATCATGTAAGGTACACCCGTTGTGAGACATCAATCAGCCAGTGCTCATGGCAGGTGCATCTGGCCACTGGCACTTTTCGTTATAGTCAATTACCTCAGCCAAGCCGCTGCATCTGTCGTCACTGGATTTGTCCGTGATGGAAGAACGTTATCATCTCCCTTCTTTCTCTGGGAGATGGATACATGGGAAATGGAAGACACTAAAAGACGGTCGCTTCACGCATAGGTCGAGCTCGTAAGATGGTCCCAACCCCCCCTGAA